ACTAATCAGCCAATCAATTGAGAAATGTTGATCGATTCTATAAAAGGTTTGTGTTACATGCGCAAATAAGTATACGCTGGGAGCTTAACTATTAAGCTATGGAACCTACATCCATTACCTAATATCTGTTATTGCCTTTATTTTAATAAAAATTTATAATATTTATAATTTTTTAGTTTTTTAATTATATCTTAAAATTTTACTAAATAAATATCTTTTAACTTTTAAGTGAAATTGTTTAACATAAAATTTAATATGTAATTACAAAAAAAATTTAATTTTTTTTAAGATATTTTTTAAAATTTTATTTATTATTTACTTATTTTTATTATACTTTTTGTTTACAATTAATTATTATACAAAATTGGATGATTGATGATCTAATTAGCTAAATCAAAATATAGTATTGTGTGATTTATCAAAATATTGTTTATTTTATTTGAGTAATGAAAAAGGAAAACCTGTAAATCATGATTTACAGGTCTTTCCTTTTCGTTACTTATTTAAATGTTAATATCTTATGATCTAATAATCAGAATCGGATGATTTTATCACTATTCGATGAGGTGAATCGAATGGTAGTAAATTCATCCGATTTCAATCACTGAATCACAAGATATTATGTGTGCGTACTTCGTCATAATACCCTTTAACCCTATAGAATAATAATAAAATATAATATATAAAATACTCATTATGCTGTATTATACGTACTATAAATATTTTAATAAACAGTAACAGAACTACCAAATAATAATAATAATAATAATAGGGAATACCTATTTCCACCTTGGAAATTTGTTATTTCCACCATGCTTTTCACACGACTTCAGTTACATAAACATGACGAACATATTGTCATGATTAATTATGTCCAATGGTGGAAATAGTAAATTTTCATGGTGGAAATAGGCGTTCCCTAATAATAATATTGTTATTATTATTATAATATTACTTTTTATGCTTAAAAAAACATATATACGTACGTACGTATAGAAAATTTTTTTACAAAATTTATTTTTATGGTTATTTAATTTTAAAATTACTATATACCTTAATTATAATAAAGATTTTAACCAATAAGGATAATTTTTATAAGCAAAATTGTTATCACCTGTAATGCTTTTACGTATATGTCCTGCACTACGTACGTACGTATACCTAATTTTTGATCATACATATATGCATAGTTTTTTTTTTCTGTTACAAAACTAACAATACTATTCTCCTACATATAAAAACTGTTTAAAGAAGATAAACTTTGGGTTTATATTGTTTCAATGCACATGATTTACTTAATGAGATCAAATGCGTATGATCGTAACAACTGCCGGAAGAAGGATATACCGTAGAGCATTGTCCAAAAGACCCCCTTTTTGATTACTCCGTGCAAAATATCCTGGAGCAAAGCACGAAATCTCTATTAATTAAATATGGACTGCTTATTGTAAATGCGGAATATGTATGTGCTTGAAAATTTTCTTCCTTGCGACACTGACTGCCTATACATGTAGAAACTATTTCAGAATTGCCGAAAAGTATTTCAGCCAAGCCTAAAAGTTTCTATGACATGTTATAGACCCGCAACAACATAATATACCTAGGTCTTTTGTAAATTTTTTGTCAGTGCTCTTCAGTAGATCAATGAATGGATCAAATTTCCGTATGTTTTTGAGCCGTAATAACGGTCCAAAAATATCATAGAACTTTAATTCATTTACTAGTCTAATGTTTTAGGCAGGCGCGACTAAATCAACTTAGCCGGCTAAGCCGACCGATAACATACAGTTGACTGGCTAATGCGGCTAAAGATCACATTATTATAAGTGATTATATTACGAAAAACACCGAAAGTTTCTGTAAAGTTAGCCGTTAGCCAGCCACTTAGCCTATATTTTAGTCTGCTGGCTGGCTTAGCCAGCGACCAAAACCATACATAGCGATAACGTACACTATACGTACTGATCTATACCCGTGCAACCATATTCTTACCTATTACGTACATAACGTATATATTCTATATTTCTATGTATGTATAAGATTTTTCCTAATAGTAAATAAAGGCAATTAATTGTAAGTACATTCCACTAGTACTGCAGCAAAAAAAAAAGAACATTGTACATATATGTAAAAAGTTTGTGTTTCAATAATGTTTGATACGTATACATATACGTAAGTATCAAATTTTTTTAAAGAAAAAGAAATTCACACATTTTATTTGAAGAATTGAAAATTTTTTGTATACATACCGATACAGTAAAAAGCCAGTTCTGGGCTTATGCTATGAGAACCAATTAATTTTGTATAACTTTAATTTTGTATAACATACTAAAACTTACCAGTTTTGAATTACATACCAAGTGTTACTATTATTAACATTAGATAAATATGTAAATTAGCAAGCTAAATAGTAGTACTAAACTACTTTACTATATATAAATGAAAATTAAAGGATAAATTAAAGAATAAATTAGTATAGTTTTTTTTTTATATATCGATATTATAAGTATAGATATTTTAAATCCAAATTTAGTACGTAACTTTGCGGATCTTAAACTTTCGAGACAAAGGACAGGAACAAGCAGTTTTATTTTGGTTTTAATTTATCACCCTTTTTAAAGACCCGTATTTACACGAGATAACGCCCCGGGGCGTGATGTCGACAAGAACAAGTAGTTTTATTTGGGGTTTAATTTCTCACCCTTTTTAAAGACCCGTTATTTACACGAAATAACGCCCCGGGGCGTTATTTTGAAACAATTTTTCAGAGAGTCAAGAAAAAAATTATTAATTCATAACTTTCTGGAAATCGGGAACCTCGAAAATAATGCCTGGAAAGTTATTTCGCGACTACGTACGTATACAAGTAAAAAATCAAAATATGACTTTAAATAATATTATCGCGTAAGATCTGAAATATAGTTTATTATAATGAAAATATTATACTATTAATACAAAATAAAACATTAAATCATACACGATACGCTATCTAACAAGATACGTATTATTACAGTATTACGAGAAAAAAAAATTTTCGATTTCTTAATTTACAAATAATTCATTTATACATATCAAAGTTATGAAAGACGAATCGCGAGTAACATTATTAAAATTTCAATAAAAGTTTTATGCATTGCTCACTATGCCCCTCCGAAAAAAAAAAAAAAAGAGAGAGAATTCTAAAAATAAAACATCTTAATTACTACTTTAAATGTAAATTGTTTAATCGCGTTTACCGGACAAGTCGAAAGTTGGCAGAGTAGCATATGTTACGAGACCTGCGAGTGCGTTATACCAAGCGATAAGAGCAGTGATAATTCCGAGGACACCACCAATTTTAGTTGCGATTTTGTTAGTGTCAGTGGTAAAACTTCCAATGGTCAAAAGTAAGAAAGTGAGAGTCAAGAAGAGGAAGAGAAGCAATATTCCGCCAGTTGAACGGAAAGTGGCCAAGAAAAGCAAGAAAGTAACTGAAAAAGGAATATATATGTTAAATTTTTAATGGGATTATCAGGAAAAAAAAAGAAAAAAAAAAAAACTTACATATTGTCCAAGCAAGAAGGTAGATACCGATAGCATGGCCCAAACCCTCGGAGCCAGAAATGCCAAAACCAGGGATAAGGATAGCAGCGAATGACATCCAGAAACCACCATATGAAGAGAAGGCAGTAGCACCAAAAGTGTTACCTGTCTTAAATTCCCACATACCAGCTAAAAGCTGTACGAGACCTCCATAGAACAAAGCCAAACCAATAGTGATATTTGGTGCTGCGATATCGGTGGAGCCTGCGTTATGGATTGAAAGGACGAATGTGGTTAAAGCGAAACCACTGAGACCAAGAGGTCCTGGGTTTGCAATTTTTGGTGGTGCGGGGTTATTTTGTTGGATGTATTTTCCGTCTTCAATCGACATGTTTATTAAGCTGATGAAAAAAGAATTCAATTCAAGTGAAAAAAGAATTCAAGTGTTAGAAGAAAAAAAAAAAATGACAAAGCGAAAAAAAACAAAACAATAAAATACTAACATTATTTAAATTATTAAGATTTTAGAATATTATTATTTGTAAGTTGGAAAGTTGAGAATGGAAAATTGGATTTATTAAACTTTAGGATCAGATTAAATAACGGTAATTAGAATTTTTTTTACGACTTTCAGTGGGGGAAAGCAATTAAGTAAGTAAATTTATAGGAGATTTCAAAGTACAATAGCGGAAATCCATATTAAGCGTAATTCGCATTTTGTACATACATAACTCTTAATTGTTTGTGTACAAAAAAAAAAGGGGGCATACATATATTTTTTTTCGTTATAGATATTATAAATATTATAAATATTAAAAATATTATAATATTATAAATATTATATTATAAATATTATAATAAAAAAACAGTAATTTATACGACCGTTTATGAAAAAAAACAAGTAATCAGTTGGGCGACACCAAATGGTAAGAGATTATTATTATTGGTTTTGCAATAAGTGTGTTCAAAGTAAATAACACCAAGGTCGATTATGTATGTGGCGTGATTAAAAAAATGCAGTTAATTACTGACCTTGAAGGGTTGCAAGTTTACACCAGGAAGCGATTGAATTGAGGTACATTTTAAAATGTATAATATTTTTTATTGACTGTATCCTGTTAATCTATTTATATTTTATGATTTTCGTGTGACCAAATTTCATTTCAAAGGTAATGTGCTGTTTCGCAGGGGCGTAAGGTTATTGTACTTGTTTAATTGAGACATTTTCATTTTCATGCACGTAAAAGGAATGTATGCAATGTAAGTGTGGATTTTTTTAATGCCAAATGAAATCTGTTTCATTTAACGATTTAGGTTTTTAAAGTTCCTTAATCGTTTCATTGATCATTTTGAATAGTATCTATCGTATCATTACGATTTATATTTAAAAACTAGAAACAGGATTCATTGCCATAGTCATTATCATAGTCTTTTACCATAGTTTTTACCATAGTCATTACTATAGTCATTAACCATAATAGTCATCAACAATAATGGGGTTTACTGCCGAATTTTAGATACCCTAAAATCAATAATTCATTGATGTTGTATATGTTGTGTCTGGTCACTATTTCGATACATACGCACATAAAAGGACCAATTGAAGATATAAAGTTTGAAGCCAATTTCTCCGGATGGAAAATAATCAGATGCGATCTGTTTAAGTGAATTATACGTAGCTGCTTACTTATTTATTAAGAAGAGAATTATCTATTAATTAAACTATTTTTCTGCAAGATTATTAAGATTAATTTACTCAAAAAGTCATTTGTGCTATTTAAAATGACACGAGAATTACTAAACCTTGAAACATAGGTTCTTTGATGAATTTGTTTTATTTGTTACATTCAATAACATACTAAAAATTTCTTTTAATTGGTTATTTATTTCTATTGACAACGATGATATTTTGCAAATTATTGTTTTTTAATTAAAATTGAATGTATCAATTAAAATTTGTTGTACTTATAAGCCTAACCTTAGTGTAAATATTTGGAAAAGTTATATTTTGAAATATCAAAATGTAATACAATTTTGTAAATTTTTTACCTTTTAAGGCGAAATATCATTATCCTCTTTTGAACAAATATTTCAAACCTTGGTATTAATAAATATTTAGTAAAAAAAAAAAATCAGTCGTTTCACACAATAATAAAGAAACAGGAAATCCTTAATTTTGGCCAATCAGAATTATCTAATCAATCAACAAAAATGTTACCGTTACACCCATTGGACTACCTTTTTAGAGCAAACTAATACTCTATATTGTTGATCTTGGATTGTTTAAAAAGTCAGGGTCTTTAATTAGTTTTCGAGTATATATATGCCATAATTATTGGTATATATCGATATACTAGATATACTAGCATTGAATTGATTATTAATGTTATTCTGATGTTATTAAAAATACAGTTATAAAAATTTAAGAAGTAAAAGTGCGTTCTGTTTATTGGTTCTTTAGTAGACGTTCCCGCTGGAATAAAGTATATTCCAAAAAAGAGAGCAAAGTGTTCAAGAAATGCAATATTAGTTGATTGTTTGTAAAACCATGCTTTTTCGCCAATTAATTAATATTTCACAATCAAAGGATTGTGCATCGTTTAAATAATTTTTATATTGTACTTGTAAATCATATGTAACAAACATCAACCATCATTGCTTGGCATTTTGATGTCCGCTTATTTCATAAATGTCATTAATTATGCTGTACACTTTTAAATTTCAGTCACGAATTTAAGTAATTTTAAATGAAAAATTTTTCTTAATGATACATTTAAATGGGGTCATTCCCCCATTTGGATATCTATATAAGATGTCCCTAAAAGGTTTTTCTTATTATAATATATCCAATCTATATATAGAATTTATAAATCTATTTCAATTTATATAATTTATATAATTTATATATATCGTTTTGGTTAATGGTTTGATAAATGGGATATGATTGGTCCTTTTCCACCTTTTCCACGTGATTCGCCCGGACAAACACAAACAAACAAACTTTACAAAGTCCACATCGTTTCGGGCAAATGAGAAAAGATTACTGTGAGTTTATCTCCACAAATACTGCACTCATAATGCACCAACCCCATGCTCGGAGCCTATATAAAAAAACTTTTATAGTTTATGCTGTATCTAGTTATTACATAAGCGTTAACCAATTATGGAATAGGTAATAACTGTTTCTATCACATCTCTAGCTAGTATCGATGACTTGTAATTCACAACTGGAAGTAGCGTGTGTCAGGGAGAAGAACAAATCATGATTTCTTAATGTTTTATACACGATTTCAATATTTTTTGATTGGTTACGATCAGCTAAGTTCATGTGTAAAATTATATGTTCTAATTTGGCTTAATCAAAAACTTTCGGACGCATGTATATATCAAGTCGAGACCTACCTTAATTTACTTACAGGCATAAAAAAGAATTTCCATTGTTGACTTATGTTGCGCCACGGTAACTTTATTGCAGAAATCTATCAGCCACATGTTTGAAATTTTTTATAATGTTGGTCAAATATTATGACGTCAATGGAAAAAAGTTGAATGGTATTTGCATAGTAGTAATTGAATTATTGAATCATATTATTTCTGAGAGTATGTATTAAGTTATCTTTCCTATTACCATAACAACCATTAAAAAAGGTTTACTTATAAAATATTAAGTCTACGTATTATAGTTGTGACCAATCATGGTGTGATGAATAAATAATTGAATATAAATTAACTAATCGTCACACAATTATTGGTTAAAAATAGAATGGTCTCCCGTAATAGACTTAGCATCTAAATTTAATTAGTGAAAAAATAGTACAGCCTGTCAAAAAAAAAAGATAGACAAGAGTTGTAGCGATTGGCTAAATTTAATATCCCTATAAATCTGCAGCCAAATTGCTATAAATTAATCATAGTATAATGATCATTAATCAAATTTTTTTAGTAAGTAAAAACATAAAATTTGAATTGCAATAACTCCTGAACAAGCCAATCTACACAAATAAAATTATATTTGCCGGGTTTATTTTAGTGAGCTCTTTAGAGTAACACCGTCTTTTTTTTATTTATAGCCTAACGAAGGACTCAATTTTCATGCAAAAAAATGGTCGCTTTTGATGTTTTTTTAATAAAAATATCAAAAACGTAACTTTAAAATTTATGTTATCGTTTATGAATGATGATCGACAAAAATTCAAAGTTATGTTTTTAATGTTTTTAAAAAAAATATATCAAAAACACCTATTTTTTTGCATGGAAATTTAGTACTTCATTAGGCTATAAAAAAAAAAAAAGACGTTGTTACTCTAAAGAGCTCACTAAAATAAACCCGGTATTTGTGTAGGTTGAGTTATTTTTTTACTATTTACTAATTACAGAATTATGTATGATTAATGTAGTTAGACTTGCCTGAAACACCCTAAATATTTGTAATAAAAATATCCTGATCCGTTGGGTATTAGAGGAAACGAAGTTTCCGCTAATACCCAACGGATCAGGATATTTTTATTACTAATAACGCCTATCTGTGTGTATATGTGCATTATTTCAAGTACACGCATGTGTTATTTGAACTAAGGGCTAATTGTCCGATATAGAAAGGCATTTTGTGATTGATTAATACGTATCGATATCAATCAAAAACATTCATGTTATGTATTTTAGGATGCAAATTGGCGTAAGTTCAGAGCTGTACATATTATTTACATATTATTTTTTTAGATTGCATAATGCAAAATATCATAAACAAACTACTACTATGTACACATATATATCTAGTCATCCCTTTTCTTTGCGATTTGTAAAAGAATTGAGTTTATATGTACGTATTAATTTGTTTTTAAATTAAATATATTTATTAAAAGAATTATTATATGTATAGAAATAAGTTTAATTATATTTGTAAAAAAAAAATAAATTTATTAAATAATGAAGCGTAAATACGTATAAATATTTTTGTTAAATAATTAAGTATAATATAAATATTTCTGCTGATTACAAAAAAAAATTTCTTACGTAGTTTACATGTAGTGTACATACGTATGTACTATACGTTCGTAATTAATAATTTGCACATTTGTGCGACATACAGTATAATTTTTCTTAACGAAATTTAACCCGTTTAATAGAGAAAGACATAGTTTATGCTAAAATTTTGCAAGAACCCATTTTTGGTTAGACCCCAAAGATAGCTTTATTAATAAAACTTTTGAAAATTAGTAATATTTGTGTATATACACATATAGTGCATAATTAGAACTTCTGATATTAAAATATATTAAAAGTTAAAGGGTATAAATATTACTAAGTATCATAATTGATTCCTAAATTTTTTATAATATAGTAGAATACTGATTTTTATAATCCGGCCAGATCAAAAATTTAAACCATAAA